TTAAGATTCTTGTGTTAAGTTTTTCTATGCAAGGTGTAATTTCCTTCTCGTATCATCTCCCTGCAAAAATGATCAAAAACCGGTGTGAGAAAAAACACAGTTAAGCCAAACTGAATTCCGAAAAGAGAAGAACATTGATAGAAAAGAAAACTCACTGTACGTTGATGGTTCTTAGAAGACCTGCCATGTTTTGAGTCTATCGATTCTGATCTCGAGGTTCTTCCATGTAGTCTCTGGTTAAATTCTTGTATGTGATTATATATACTGCAAAGTCCAAACCATGAAAAGAACATGTCAGAAACTGAGTCATACAGCAAAGTGTAAAATGTATGTGAGAAACTATTTTACCTAAGCCGATGCCTGTTACAGGCAGCAAAGAAGGCAACAAATCCGTTCAATATACTCCTCACAGCACGAAAAACCTGAAAATATGAAGCAAACAAAGACAGTTAGTAATGACTGAAGTTGTAAAGGATTCGGATTCTTTTGATTGTATTTGACATTGTTTACCGACATGAGAAAAGAGGTCGTTCCAAAGCGTGCGCCACATGGAGACTTCGTACGTCTTCACAGCTGCTTGAGAATCTGATGCAAGCTGAAGTATGCTGCTCATATACCGCCATAAATCCCCGAGAACATCAAATATGTATGAGAAGGAAAAAGCTAAACAGTTGGCTAATGCAACAACCACTCTGATCGGTGCATATATCACTTCCCAGATGATCCAGAATAGAGGCAGTAAAACAGTACTTACTGCAGTATCGAAAAGAAAAAAAAGGATCAGAATTTTGATTATATGCTTAGAGATAAGGATAGTAGGAAAAATGATGCTCAATTTGTTTGTACTTACTGATGTTCCAAACTAGCGAGACGATAAACCAAATGGGCAAGAGAACCAATTCTACCACATCACCAACAAGAGTGAAACCAGACTCGATCACTATCCAAACAACCGAAACCAAGCTCTCCACTGTTTCCGCCAACGAATTCCATAACGGTAGGAGCAAACCAAGAGCGTCTAAGAGAGGGTTTACCAGAGGCATTACGAGTAAAGAAACAAATGACTGCATAGCACGTGCCATAGTCAGAGCCCACTTGACAGCTTTCTGAAAGTTGTGAAGAAACAACATCGTTCCCAAGTACTTTATCCGCGATACCATGTCCCATGTTTCAACCCAATCAATGAGTGGCCCACATAACCGAGATGCAGTGGCTTTCAGAACGGGGACATTTTTGTACAGGTCATAAAAACCTATCACAACGGTGATGATTGATACCATCACATATAAAGCTCTGGCGAAAAGGCACATCCAGGGTCGATAAAGATGGCAAAAGCCGGGATAAGACTGCAGAAACAAGACCCATGAAGGGAGACCAGCTTCAAGTAAAGTAAGCAAGCGTATGTCAGCCATTACAACCTCTCGCAGTTTGAAGGGGAGATCACGGTCGCCAAACCTAACAAGAACTAGAACATCTTTATACTGGGTTGCTTCAATGACGTTCTCACCATCAGGTACATGGCTTTCCAAGTGGTCTACCGAGTTATCTTCTCTTTTCGGTGTTTCCTCCATATAGTCAACTTCAACTCCGGTGCTGATTGCTTTAGTTACTCTTCTTCTCTTATACGGTCCAGTCAGAGGCGGTGTGTGAGGTTCGTTTTCATCATAATCAGCAGTAGAATGATTAATGTTGAAGACACTTCTGGAGCAGCAAGGTGAGTCATTTTCAACAGAAACATTGTCGCTGCCAAGGTTGTCATCATCATCAACGGGATAAGTTTTTGAGAAATCTGCTTCAGCGTCATGAAAAACCTCTCCTGAAAGAGTTACAATAATGTAAGCTTATTTCAGCTAAGGAACCAGAGAGATCATGCAACTCAAGAAAATTTGCCTAAGTAAAGCAATGTCAAAGCTAAATCAGAGCAAATGATGTCTTTCATGAAAAAACGGTACCTATAGCTGAATCGAGATATTCCTTTAAGCAAGACCTTTCAGTTTTCGATCCAGAGAACCACTGAGACATACTTGTTACCGCTTGGTGGATACTCTCAAACTCCCACCTTCGCATCAACTTAGCTTCAATAGCAAGAGATGTGTCTGTCTATATGAAGATATAAAACAAGTAAAATACAAGCACAAAAAAAGAAGAAAAAAATGTCAGAACAATGAATAGTTGCAAGGATTACCAGTAGCTCATTCAAGTAATTGATACCCCTCACATTGGCCCATTCAACTTCAAACACGATGAAACCGTACAAGGTCTCATGAAGTTGCTTGTTTAGATACAAAGCGCTTTGCAGTTTCTTTGCAGGTATTTTCTTCTTCGAAAACGTCGTGGCATCAATCAATGTGAACCATTTCCGAAGCTTCTTCATTTTTTTATCGTCGGGCTGGGAACACGC